CGGTTTTTTTTTTAGGGCCCACCCCCCCCCCCCATTAACACACCACACCCATCTTCTCAAATGCTCACCGGAGTCACTACTGTTGTTTAGAAAAAGCACAGTAAAACTATCATGCAAGGTATGTTACTACATCACACAGCCACAATATGGAACATATAAGGCTAAGTTTCTTCATCTTTTAGACCTTATACTTTATACCTGGGGTTAGTTCCTACAAGTCACTTCTATGCATAAAATGTAATATTTAGTGCAATCGCTTTTCAAAGAGTTTCACGTATATTATCACAGTAACCTGTACAACACACCTGCAAGCCAGTAAGATGTAGTGCTGAGCATCAGACTAGGATCCAGGAGACCAGGGTTCAAATTTTCAGTCTGCCAAGAAGCTCACTAGTAGTAGAAAAGAATGAGAGTCCAGTAGCACCTTAAAAGCTAACAAAATTTGTGGTAGGGTATGAGCTTTCATGAGTCACTGCTTACTGCTTCAGAGGTATCTGGAGAAGTGAGCAGTGATTCATGAAAGCTCATACCCCACCACAAATTTTGTTAGTTTTTAAGGTGCTACTCTTTTCTACTGCTACAGACAGACTAACGTGGCTACCCATCTTGAAGAAGCTCACTAGGTGACTTTGGACCAGTTTCCCTCTTTCAGCCTAACCAGTCTTCCAGGGCTGGTTACAAGAATAAAACAAGGAAGAACCATGTATGCCTCCCTGAGTTCTCTGGATAAAAGGGGGGAATGGCATAGCTCCTGGCAAAATACATTACTGTTCCTATACAGCAGATGGGGGAATTGACTGGGAAGGGGGTGGAGAGACTTGCCTAAGTGTTTGTGGCATGGTACAATTTGATGTGGAGACCTCTTGGGCTGCAACTCAGTCTTGTAGCCATTATGTGACACCAGCTGAGTGTAACATGACTAGTGATAGGCAAGCTCTCCTTGGTGCAATTCAAAATTGGTTATTTATTTATTTATTCGATTTGCTATCCCGCCCTAACCCCTAAGGGTCTCTGGGCGGCTTACAGAGAGTGCTAATCACATTATTTGATATTTATGATCTGTATTTGAAAAAAAAAATGCTGGTTTCTCTCTCAGCTTGTAACACTGGCACACGCTCCCACAGAACTGTAGCTTGCATCACCATTCAGAGCATTCAGAAGTTCTAACACATATCCCAAACACGTGCCAAACAAAAGCAGGTTTTAGATCTGAACACCAAGAGTGACTGAATAAAAACATTCCCAACAAACAAATCAAGAAAACTAATTTGATTGTAAGACCTGTAATATACATGAAACAACCTAGGGTTCACTAAGACAAAGTGGTTAACATTAAAAAAAACTTTTGTACATGTACCAACACAGTGGTTTGGTCAGCCTGAATGTTGATTACAGACATGCAAAAATCAGTTTTAAAACACATTTCAGAGTAGCTTAAACATTTATAAAAACATAATCTCCAGATACAGCCAATAAATAAAACTGAAAAACAACACATCAAAACAGAAATAATGGACACCCCCCCCCCAAAAAAAAAACCCAAACCAACCCCAGACCTCAAACATTCTCTGGAACAAAAATGTTTCTTTGGTGCCTGAACAGCATTTAAGAAAGGGCCACACAAACTCCCCTGAGGCTAGAGATCCATCATTTCTGTGCTACTCTTGAAAAAGGCCCTGTTCTGCAGTACAGATGGCAGATAAGTACTTCTGAGGCACAGAAAACATTTTGGGGAAGCCAGCATTTAATTCATAATGCAGTTAAGTATTACACACTGGGCAAGTCAGTATTCATAATTATCTGATTTGAAACTTCAGCAGAAACATCTCCAATACTACTTAGCAGTAATTCGTGAACTCTGACCTGTTTATTTAAGTCCTCGTCCTTCCTATATTACTTCCCATAGAACACAGTGACTTGCTAGAGCAAAAGATCCCAACATGACCCCCACCAACAATGTGCTTCCTGATACCTCAAGACTCAAGAAGGGAGGAGAATAAAATCCAGAGAGTCTTGAATGGGAAAAAAAATGGGAACACTGGGACACCTTCCCCCCATTTGTCTGAACAGGTGTGTCACAACCAAGTGGCCTTTGTTTTGCCACAGACAGAGACTCTCTTCCTATATGTTTGGGATTGGAAACCTCTCTGTTTGGTCTCCCCTCTCTTTGGAAACTGAAAACAAACAGGGTGTTTCTACCAAAGGGCCAATTCCAGCTTTCCTTTGACTTCTTGGTGCAGGAGATGCTTCACCCCAGGAGGTATTTATTCAAACATTTCTATGCCTGTGTTCCACCAAATTATGGTTGCCTTTAACCTGTGGAGATAACCTACTCAAAAGCAGCTATTGCTGTTGTAGGATGCTACTTGGATTGGAACCTTTAATGTTGTGTGATTGGCCCTGTCTTCATAACCATTTTCAAGTGGCGCCAACAACCTTTTCTCAAAATTCCCAAAGTGCATGCAGTGTCAACAAGTTTGGGGAACCCTGTACTACAGCAAACTTTTTCATCCTAACATGAAAAGCAGTCCTGACTTCTTAGGTCTTTGTTATTTTAAGGCAAAACCTACAAATTAACTTAAAAAGTGTTCAAATTTGTATCATCAGCCTCCTCTGCAATTTGATTTTTATGTGCTACTGAACTTAGTCCAGAAAACAGTGTATCTTTCAAAAGGTCAACGTGTTCTTAGCCACAAATAATAAATCAATGCAAGAAAAAGCAACATTTTCAGGAGAGCTCTTCGAGATGCTCAAGATTTTCCTAATCAAAAAACCTTCATATATTACCATATTTTGAAAAGCAAATAAGAGCACACATTTCTCAACTGACTACTTCTAACAAGTGATCAATATGACAAATATCATTTTAAATGCCCCTACTATTTAAAGTGTGATAATTGCTCCTAAGGAGTCACGGTGGCTCAGAGGTTAAGACTCGAAGCTGCAGACCAGAAGGTCTGTAGATCGGCAGTTCGAGACTCTAGTGCTGCATGACAGAGTGAGCTCACGTCTCTGGCCCCAACTCCTGCCAACCTAGCAGTTTGAAAGCAAGAAATTGCAAGTAGATAAATAGGTACCACTTCGGTGGGAAGGTAAGAGTGTTCCATGCGCTTTGGTGTTTAGTCATGCCGACCACATGACCACGAAAAAGTCTTTGGACAGCGCTGGTTCTTCAGCTTGGAAACGGAGTTGAACACCGCCCCCTAGAGTCAGATTCAGCTGGCTTTCAAGCAAGAGAAACCTTTTCCTTTTTACTTAATTGGTCCTAAATAGGAATATTCCTAACTTTCCAACCCAAAAAGAGGATTTTCATCAGTTTTTTAAAAAAGAGCCCAAAAAAGTATGGACACCAAGAAAAAACATATCTGGTAACCCTAAAAGACATAGTGATGAAAAGACTCCAGTGGATAGCCGGATAGACAAAGCCTTCCTTACCAGACTCCAATTGTTACACCCTCCTCTGGCTGTAGGTAGTAGTTACAGGTGTGGTTTAAACCTTGATCCTGGGGCCTTTTCAAGTCAATGAAGTAGGGTGCCCTCACTGAAACAGAAGAATCAGAAAAAAAACTAAATTTATGTTCTGTTTACCAGCTGATTGCTCTCACACAGCTACTACACAAAACACATCAATGACAACCACAATAAAGCAATGAAGTACTCAGTAATGAAGTAATAAGGAGGGCAGGAGGAATTGTTTAATACGTGTGACTAACAGAACTAAAAAAAAGAAAATGCAATTTTATCTAGTATGAATGTGCTCTCCTTAGTGCACAAGACATCATCAAGAAATAGGCTGCATATCCAGAAAAGTTTCATGAACTATTGTACCTAATTGTTCAGATTAAAAATGCACCAATTCTTAACATTTGTATGTTGAAAGAACACAAGTAACCCCAAGAGGAACACAGTGTGTAATTTTCTTATATATGACATCCTGAAACGGAAAAAATGTAATATTCTCTATAAAAAGCCTCTGCATTAAATCTCAAACAATGAAAAAGTCCATACTCATCCTCTTGCTTAGCTATCCAGCTGCCAGAAAGATACAAACCCTTAAAAAGTAATATCCACATTCTTCAGGCAAAACAAGGCAGTGGTTGTGCCAGGATTTTGTTTCTTAGCAGGCAGTTCTCATGCCCTTCAGATACATCTAAGAGTAGTATCATATTCCTCAGTACTATCTAACGGTGAAAAATGTAAAATCTTGCAAGTGCTCAGTGCTTGCTCTGTTAGTGGACAATTTGGGGGAGCATTATGCTCCAGCTCCTCTACTTCACTGTAGCCTGCATGCCATGGTGCATTTACAAGGGATTGACAAGTAGAGGATTTTCAGAGAGTGTATGGAGGGCGGCTGCTGGGAGAAAGGGAAGATTCTCCTGTACAATCTCCATCTACTAAAGCAACTGTAGGATCCAGCCCATTGCACATGCATGTTACCCCAGCACCAGCTCAACCGATGAAACTGTTAAAAAGGCAGCCTGTAGACTCATTAATTCTGGATCACCAGCAGCTATTTTTTTAAAAAAATCTCTGTTTCTGAAATACTGGAAAATCTTTGCTTTCAGTTTCACATGATGTGGCCAATGTGAGGGCTCTAGAAACACACAACTTGCATTGTATGCTTACTAAAGACAATCAAAAGCAGGTCTCAGGTTATCCAACCCACAGCCAGCACTTAATTCCATACAGTTTGGGACTATGAGTGTGCAATTTATGGTCATAAAACATTCCTCAGGTTTAAGAAAATGATCAGAATCTCCATAGAATAAAGGACAAAACTATACATTACATGCAAACACAGCTATGCATTTTGGCAGCATATATCAACATCTGCTCTTGCTTGTGATCTGTAGGGTCACTTGTTTCATGATGTGACATCATTACATTCCAAGTCTCCCTACCAGTGGTAAACAATGATGTGAAGCAGGTTGAGAGAAAGTATGAATGTGATCAGGGGTCTGCAACCTTCTACAAGCAAGGGATCAAGCCGACATAAGAAAGCCTATTACTGACAAGAAACATGTTGATTAATAATCCATAAAGTTTCCACAGTCAAGACACGGGCTGTTGTGAGTCCTTTATTAGGAAGTGGCAAACAGGGGCTCTCACAATAAGTAGTACACATACACAGGAGCACCCTGCATGATTTACACCAGTGCACTAAAACAATCTGTGTATGGTTCTTAGAGCAGGACTTTGGAGAGGTGGCCTAGAAATCCCCTAAAGAAATAAATTCTCACTTGGATTACTGATAACATTACCTTTTCTGTACAGCATCTCTAAGAAACCCCTCAATCCCACACAAAGAATATCTTTGTCTGCCATTCCCTTTTCATACAGGTTATTCTAGCATCCCAACTACCTCACCAATATACTTTAGGATTTGCAGTTTCTGTAGTGAAGGAGTCACACATTGTTCTGTATTGAACCACATTTGGCTCTAGAGCCATAGGTTGCAGACCCCTGTCCTACATGTCTCAGGAGAATGCTCAAACTAGGAGAGCCATTTTTGGCCACATGACCACATCACATGCAATATGTACTTCCATTCCATGATCAAGATAAGAAAACTGGAGATCTATATTCAAATCCTACTGGACTTGCTGTAAGTCCTTTGGCACACTGTTTTTTTCCTACCACAGAGCTGTTGTGAAATTGCCCTGACCTGGATAACCCAGGCAAGCCCGATCTCGTCAGATCTCGGAAGCTAAGTAGGGCTGACCCTGGCTGGCAAGTACTTGGATGGGAGACCTCCAAAGAATACCAGGGCCAGGAAACCACCTCTCTGAAACGTCCAAGCCCCACTAGGGGTCACCAGAAGTTAACCATGACTTCCAGGCATACACACACACAAATACTCACATAAAAGAAGAGTTGTTGTGACAGCAATTATGTGAAGAAAGATTGCCCAACTTGATACACAGACTGGACCAACTAGAGAATATACATGGTTACTTTAATCCTTTAAGCAATCTGTACAAAACAAAGATTGCAGCTACTACAATACCTGAATAAAGTACTCATTAAATAATAATAGTTTACTGCCAACACAGTTTGTCAAAACAAATACTTATTAAATTAATTTCCTGTTCTGTCCCTGACATTCAGGGCAGGATTATTTTTTTTAAAAGTATCTGTTTTGTTACATACTGTAAATAATGTATGAATGCAAAAAATTATAATAGTTTAATTCTCATGGGCATTATTTCATATCCTTAGTAGACGAGATAATGCAAGAGATAGAAGGAAAAGAACCTAGGTCAACTGAGTGTCAAGAGGTGACATGGGAGACAGGTCAGCTCCTCTCATCTGCATGTTCCTTTTCACATCAGCGTCAGACCCTGCTACTCCAAGGCAGAAATGCAATTAAACAAATATGGCTGCTGTTTTGCTATCTAAGCTGGTCTTAAGTGATCTTCCCTAGTATACCTGTATGTATACAGAGAGCTAATGGATTGTTTCGTTCACCAAGTAGATTTAATTCTGCTGAGTATGTGGGCGAAGAGACCAAAGTCTTGAACCGAGTCCCTAGGGCTGCATACGCCTGGTGTCTCAGTGAGAAAGGCATACTGTATATAAATAAAGCTATTATTTAGCTGAATACATTGCTTGAATATTTATTACTGGTATATGAGCAGGCAAAGGTTTTCATGCATGGAAAAATGAGGTCACGTGTTTGTTTTTAAAGCACTGGAATGGGCAAGGCTTATGGGATCTGGGTTCCTTAGTCAACCACATACACCAAAAAGCATGTGGCTGAGCAATTCACAGTCAGACAAAACCATCAGCAGAGCCAACAATGCAAACCAGATTCTACAAAGTAATTAAAACTGGAGTGTTTACATATGCAGGTGTATTCTTGGGGATACCACAGTCCGGCGACTACAAAAGTAATAGTCTAAGGAGTGCAGATATTGCAGTCAACCAGGATATTCTTATTAGAGACACAAGTACTTTATCCATATATAGTTATTACATTTTCTAAAAACCACACTATAAAAATTGCTCTCTTCCAAACACAAATGGAGTGAGATATCGTTGCTAAATATAATGGGCAGGATGAGGTGAGGGAACTTTTCAAGAGATAGTCCCACTAAACGTTATTTTTCATTACTGTATTTGCAGATCTATGAAAGCCAACAGGGAACTTTCTATACATCAGCAGGCATAGTATTTAGAACATCACATAAGATGATACAGGACAGGGCAGCAAGAACAACAGTTTCCTTTCACTAGCTGGGACCAGAACATTCCATGTTGATACAAACAAAACAAATTCCAGATAGCATCAGGTCTTCCTTCTATCAGCACTCCACATAATAAAAACGTACTGGAGGTTGCTGACAGATTCTTTGTGACACTGGACTTTCAACCTAAGTGCTTTTGTAAACTGATCACACAATAATTTCTTCTGTATAGATGTTCTAGCCACCCAGAAAAGGGGAAGAAAGTCTCTGTTCTTCTGATCTTTAGTGAGGCTGAAAACAGAACTGTTTAGAAAGGTCTCTGGAGAGGCATGAGGGTTTTATGATGAAGTCTGTTTGGAGTTTTATAACCAGGTTTGGTTTATGACCAGGCTGATTGCAGTTGGTTGCTTTTGCACTATGACGTGTTCTTACAGTTTTAAAAAATTATTCATTGTGCATTATATCTAGCTGCTTGACACAGGCAAGCAGCTAGATATACTGAATAGATAAACATAATAGATATACTGAACAGATAAACAGAATAGATATACTGAATAGATAAACAGGGGGTTTATGGTACCAGGCCTCACCAGATAGGGGAAAGAGAGAGTGGAAGAGTAGCTACCATCTGAGCTGGGTACATCTAGGGCAGTGGCAAGATTGTTGAGGGCATGGATGGCAGTGGCAATGGCACACAGAACAGCTGAAAAGCACAACAAATGAGTTGTGTTCATAGAAGCTCTTCAGTAATATGAGGAAGTAGTTTAGTGATTTAAAGGTATTTAAAGGTCTCAGATTCCATACATGTCTGTCCGGGTCAGCTTGGTGCAGATGACACATCCATGGACATCTGTAACATGAGGGAGGATGTCTGATTCCATGTCAAAAGGAGTGCATGGGTGAAGGGAAATGAACATTTCCCATTGCTTCAAACTATTTTCTTCTCAGCCAGAAATGGTAGTAGGACTCTTTTAATGTTTAAAAAACACACACTAAAACACCCTAATTCAGGAATGCAAACAAATGTGGCTGTTCCTATCATGCTTGTGGGGCTGTCACACAAGCCCTGAACATACCCTAGGACATCTTTATCACCTCGTCACCTTCACTATTGCAGCACCTGTAAGGCTGGTCATCACCTTCTCAGAAAGCCTGCTGGAGACAGTGCAGGCACGGAAGATATGGAGACAAGTCGGTTTAAAAAACATGAAAGATAGACTGGGAAAAAATTATCCAAAAGGAGAAAGAAAGGCTGGTAAAGTGAAAAGGAAATGGAGAAGAATGAGACGAAAGCGAAATGTGCGCAAAAGGCAACAGGTCAGGAAGATATGGAGACAAGTCGGTTTAAAAAACATGAAAGATAGACTGGGAAAAAATTATCCAAAAGGAGAAAGAAAGGCTGGTAAAGTGAAAAGGAAATGGAGAAGAATGAGACGAAAGCGAAATGTGCGCAAAAGGCAACAGGTCAGGAAGATATGGAGACAAGTCGGTTTAAAAAACATGAAAGATAGACTGGGAAAAAATTATCCAAAAGGAGAAAGAAAGGCTGGTAAAGTGAAAAGGAAATGGAGAAGAATGAGACGAAAGCGAAATGTGCGCAAAAGGCAACAGGTCAGGAAGATATGGAGACAAGTCGGTTTAAAAAACATGAAAGATAGACTGGGAAAAAATTATCCAAAAGGAGAAAGAAAGGCTGGTAAAGTGAAAAGGAAATGGAGAAGAATGAGACGAAAGCGAAATGTGCGCAAAAGGCAACAGGTCAGGAAGATATGGAGACAAGTCGGTTTAAAAAACATGAAAGATAGACTGGGAAAAAATTATCATCTGTGCAGAGGGAAAGAACACGTGGACATGCTACTGCGGCTAAGGATACTAATGGTGTTCAGAAAGCAATATAAACCATACGGGCATAATATTTGTGGCTTTTTAAATTATTTGATGGGTAAAATGAATTCTCATAAGCTAAAGATGATAATATGAGTACTTAATATCTATAAAATTGATTTGGTGTTAAATGAAATGATTTAGCCAATATGAATTGTAAATAGGTCTTGAATTAGTTGGATGGAGTAAATTGATTTGATTTAAAAGTTGATGTTGATGGTGGGATTTAAAGCTACAGATAAGAAATGTGATTAAGATATGAAAGCAATATATATGAATTTATTTAAGGGTAAAATGAATTATTACAAGCTAAAGAGGATAATATGATTATTTAATATTACCCAACATTTACAAATATGGTTTAATATGAGTATTTATCATCTATAAAAATGACTTGGTGTTAAATGAAATGACTCAACCAATAGTAATTATAAATAGGCTTTCAAGAGATTGGAGTGAATTGATTGGATTAAAGCTGGATGTTGTTGGGGGGGATTTAAAGTGACAGATAAGAAATGAGGCTAAGATATGGAAGTGATATATATGAATTTATTTAAGGGTAAAATGAATTATTATAAGTTAAAGAGGATAATATGATTATTTAATACTATCCAATAACTACAAAACGGTTTGGTTTTATAAAAATGAGTATTAATTGAATCATCCTATCTGATATTAAGAGATTATGTAAGCAAGGTTCTCTTCTTTTCTGGGATGTTGTCTCTGGTAGTGGTGTAAGAAACTATGCTGGCTGAGACAATCTTAAGTATAAATGGTAAAGTAAATGTGAATAGTGGACTGTTTCAAGAAAAAAAAGAGTGAGAAAAGAATAATAATACAATTATTAGATGCTGTATGCTTGAACAAGGAGGAAAATGTACTTGTTAAATGATTATGTGATTACTTAGAAGTATTTAGAAATGGTGTTAAATGGAGGAAAAATGACTATGCTGCTGTTTAAAAGCAATTATAAATGGTAATGGGTGATGTTGTGGGTGGTGGGTATCTGTATGTGTAAAAAATCCAATAAAATATATATTTAAAAAAAAAAAAAAAAGTATGTCAAAATTCAGGCACAAGATTCAACACAAGACACTGTAGTCAGACTGGAGAAAAACAGCAATGAAGTCATTATACAGAATTATGATAGACAGACTTGGTTTACCCAGATTCCACAACACAGGATATTGCACTAATGATGAGACACATACACCTGAGAGTGCCAGTCTCAGTGGTTGCATGAAATGATCTTAAGATTTACCAAGGCTGACATGCCACTCAATTGACTACCTACTCTTTGACCACAGAATATTTTCAAATATTACCATGAAGTCAAGAATGCCTTGGTGTAGGTGGCAGCTTCTCTCTCTCTCTCTCTCTCTCTCTCTCTCTCTCTCTCTCTCTCTCTTTTAAGTTCATTGCAATATTGTTAGTTAGATGCTCACCTCAAACCTAGCAGCACAGAAAAAGCTTTGCTACTTGTCACCTACTATCACTGTAAGCATTTCTCAACAGGAAGCAGTGGAGACTACGTAAATTCTTTAATATTTTTAAAAGGGAATTTCATTGCTTTAACAGAGACAGTGAATTCATTTTTGATTTAGCTCAGGAATTACATTTGTCATTCTAATCAAGTTCATGCCACAATTTGATAAGACAATTGAGAATGTATTTTGTTCCTGCTCAGATGTCCAACAGGCAGTACAGATACCAGTTCTGAAAACTATACACTTCAAAAGATTCATACAGCATCACTTATTGACAAAGTGCACAGGCACAATCAGATTTTCTGTGTTTACTCATCATACTAAAGAGGGGGTGGGGGGAGAGAAGAGGCAAAAAACTAGTAACTTGTATGTTGCATATCACTGACAAAACCTACTAAGGCAAGGGAAAGTCAAACAACAAGACAGACAGGAGCTCAGTTGTGAAGGATATTAGTAGAGGCATAATGACAGAACAATACAGGTCTTCTAGAAGATATGGAGGCTGTTTCAATAAAATCAACAGGTATAGAAAGTCAGCAAATACCTTAAAGACATTTGAAAATACATTAAGAAGCAGCGCTTAAACAGTTGTGGCAACATGAAATTACAAATTAGCAATTAGGAAACAGTAAAGAAAAACAGAGAAGACAGTTAAGATTTTCAGTATGACTCAAAAAGCAATACAGCAAACTGATTCTGCAATTAAATAAGAAAATGATGCATATCAGTAAGAATTACTGGATACCTGATTGCAAAAACCAAATGTGTACACATTATCTTGATACAACTCAGCCAAAGATAATAAAAACCAGCAAATGTTACACTAGGGCAGGTGGAAGTAAAACAATAAATTCAATGCTGTGATATATACATACCCCAGAGAGCACTACGGTCTGGGGCCCAACACCAGCTGACTATTCCGAGCCCCAAGGAGGCAAGGCTCACCAGTACCAGGACCAGAACCTTTTCTGTGGCGGCTCCTTACTGGTGGAATGAGCTCCCGGAGGAGATCAGGGCCCTGCGGGACCTTTTACAGTTCCGCAGGGCCTGCAAGACGGAGCTCTTCCACCAGGCCTTCCAATAGGAGTCGCCACCACTGTTACCATCCTAGATCTGGCCCTGACATATCGCTAGGCCTTCCGGCGCGAGGATGATGATCGGTGGAATAACGCAGAATGAGATCTGGAAGCAAGCCATCTAATTTGTAGTACTGTATGCACTTTATTGTTAACTGCTAACTTATGTTCTAAATTACTTGTTTATGAGATTTTATAGAGTTTTTAAGTTTTATGTATGCCAATCAGGTACACTGTACTGTTTTGTGAGCCTGCTTGCAGGATGGGCGGGGTATAAACACAATAAATAAATAAATAAATAAATAATTATACTAATGTGATGCTACCTTAGACAAATACTCTATGAAATTCTGGTCATATTTTTACATTTTAATTTCTAAAGGATGAAAGAAAATCAAAGAAAGGTTACCAAGGAAAAATACATTTTGAGGCATTACTACTGTGCTTGGAAGAAGGGTGGAAAAGAGATTAATATAATCACTTTGGGGCTGTACTGTAATTCCAGTTCTACCAATTAGGTGTGGTGATTTGGATCAGAGTACAGGAGGCACATACACTGCTTGGAGGATCTCCTTTCACATGGGATAAGCCTAAGGGATCCTGGCATTGTATTTTGTGGAATGTGTTATGTTCTTCAGAAGGGACCCGTGTCCATTTCTCTCCTATGGGTCAATATTAGTAATTCTTCACAAACATTAAAGATGTTTGCCAAACCTCTCGTTTAAAGCTTACACTTCATGGAAATGTCATGCACATCAAATAACTAACCTTTATCATAAGAACTGAGTCCACCTTTGAACCTTTTTGATGAAATTCAACAGAA